CTATACTGGACTGGTGATTCACACAACAGGCAATCGGTAAAAGCTTGTGATGAGCTCTGAGCTGTGTGGTATCAGTTGGAAGAGAAACTCCACCCTTGCTAAACTGTGGGTGAAATTTCAAACCATGCAGTAATCTGATTTTCTGCTGAACTGATGGAATGTGAAATTTGAGGCTCTCGGTCATTTTTGAGTGGCATGAGCAATGTAAAGAGGCAGATAAATACTTGTTTTCTTTTTTCTTCTCTTTTTTCTTCTTTCTTTTCTCTTTTCCTTCTTTCTTTTCTCTTTTTTCTTCTTTCCTTTTTTTCTTTTTCAGTTTATCTTCTTTCTTCTTCTATCTTTTCTTCTTTTCTTAGTATCTTTTTTCTTTTGTATTTTCTTCCTTTCCTTTCCTTTCCTTTCCTTTCCTTTCCTTTCCTTTCCTTTCCTTTCCTTTCCTTTCCTTTCCTTTCCTTTCCTTTCCTTTCCTTTCCTTTCCTTTCCTTTCCTTTCCTTTCCTTTCCTTTCCTTTCCTTTCCTTTCCTTTCCTTTCCTTTCCTTTCCTTTCCTTTCCTTTCCTTTCCTTTCCTTTCCTTTCCTTTCCTTTCCTTTCCTTTCCTTTCCTTTCCTTTCCTTTCCTTTCCTTTCCTTTCCTTTCCTTTCCTTTCCTTTCCTTTCCTTTTCTTCTCTTTTCTCTTTTTTCTTTTCTTTTCTTTTCTTTTCTTTTCTTTTCTTTTCTTTTCTTTTCTTTTCTTTTCTTTTCTTTTCTTTTCTTTTCTTTTCTTTTTCTTCTTCCCTTCCCTTTTCCTTTTCCTTTTTTGTTTTTTCTTTTTTCTTTTTCCTTAAATTTTTTTTCCCTTTTACTTTCCCCTTTTTGTCTTTCTTTTCCTCTTTTCTTCTTTCTTTTTTCTTCTTTTTCTGTTATCTTTTCTTCTTTCTTTTTCTCTTCCTTTTTTATTTCTTTTTTCTTCCTTTTCTGTTGTCTTTTCTTCTTTCTTTTTCTCTTCTTTTTCTTTTTTATTTCTTTTCTTCTTTCTTTTTTGTTTTCATTTATTCTTCTTTTATTTCTTTATTCTATTTCTTTTATTTCTTTTATTTCTTTTTTCTTCTTTTCCTTTTTCCTTTTTCTTTTCTTTTTTTTTTAACCTAACGGGAGTCAGGTACCTACTTCAGTGGGCTTAGCTCAGGCAAGCTTTGCTCTCTAAGGCATTTGAATGGAGCAGGATCAGAGTTCAAGCAAGAAGAACATTCATCCCTGGAAACAAAGTCTCTAACTCAGTTAAATTCAATCCTCTGGTACACATATGCTGTAAGAATTGAAATTGCTGCTAAACATATTTTAAAAATCTTAAACATCTTTTGGAATTGCTACATTAGTAGACCCTTACTTTTATTTTGTTCTCTGTCTTTTGACACTTGGTCATCTCTGGTTTGCTTTCTGCTTGTATAACATTTCATCTGTTAATAAGCCCTTTATGTAAGGTTTTGATCAATTTGTTGCCTTTTCGGGTTTATAATATTGGCACTACTTAAGAAAAGGTAAATATTTTGGAAGCTCTCAAGGTACAATATTCCCTACTGTCTCACTTTAAAACCATTTTTCAATTTCTTCTCCCTTCAGATTTGAACCACTTTAGTAATACGCAGGAATATCGGTACTGTCAGCGTGCATTAGGCAGGAGGCTGTGCTGGCCGCCCACCACAGCCACAGCCAGTGGGACCTGGGCTGAGCGCATCAGAGCGCAGAACCAGTGATGCTCCATGGGCTGCTGATGGGAAGGTGTACAGCAAAGACAAATGCCTCCTTTCACAGTATCTTTTGATACTGGGTAAGTCAAATTAGTATAAAATTGAAAAATTAAGGATAAGTGGTCAAAAAAAGAAGGTAATAGTGTTTTTAAAATGGATCCAAATAGCTTTCTGAGCTGTGCTGATTTTTTTTTTTCTTTTAAAGGTATGTGTTAAAAAGGCTCTAGAAAAAAAAAGCAGCTATCAAAATGGAGGAAGTGAGCAAACTATAAATGAAATAATGTGCCCAAAGTGATTAAAAAATATGTATTGCAAGTAGCTGAAGTGCAAGAAGGAATGCTTAAAAAAAAAAAAAGTTAAAACTTTTTGAAAACTATTTTTTCCAAACATCCTAAAAAAGTATCCAGATTAGCTAGCAAATACATTCAAATGTAGGCTAATATGGACTCTAAATTGTAAAGTTTTTCCAAATATCTTTAACTGAATACATGTATAAAACAAATTCCACAGATGCAAAATATTGTCCAGGCTGATAAACACCTTATATCCAAAATGTGATTTAAACGCATTGGAAGGGCTGTAATGTTGTTAAATGTGGTCACTTTCACATTTATTTCTGCGTGCCCAAAGAGATTGGTCTAAAAGGTCTTTAAATGATCGAAAAATGTAGGACATAAAAGTGTTCATGTGCATAAATATAAAAACTTGTGAAGAGAAAACAGAGAGGAACCCAAAAATGTCAAGAAAGGAGAGTAAAACATTTTTCAATATATTTTCAAAAATGAATTGGCATTGAAGTAGAATTTTGAAAGTATTCAAAAGGTAAAATAAAACCTAAAGTTTTTAAGTGCTACATGCATCGTATCTGAGCTATCAGGCCCTGCACCAACATTCACCTCATATGGCCTCCATAGCAAGGATTTCAGATTGTGATAGCTCTAGTATATGGGCTGTAATTATAAATTATCAGCTCAGACTTGATTTCTTACAGACCTGTGTGTGCCCATCATTTCAAGATGGCGTTTGACTCTCTCACCAGTGCTCAGAGCACACAGTGTGCTGCTCCCTTTTGGCGTTAGCTTTAGCAAGAATCGTGAGCTCTTAAATTCCATTTCCCATAGATTAGTAGACAATATCTCTGTGGAAATTTACTTTGACAGCTTGGGTTTTAAACAGCTTGTTTTGCATTTTGGCTTCAACCAGGATGCTACATGACATTAAGGAGCAGCTGAACTGAGTGGACATCTGTCACAAAAGTGAATGCTAAATTTACAAGCAGGCATAAACTACGCTGAATGAAGAGACAACACAATCTCAGTCCTGTAGGTGTGGCCTGTAACCAGCAAGGCTGTAGCTACCACTGTTTTGGGATTTTTTTTTTTTTTTTTTTTTTGCTTTTCAGACTCTCTACCCACTAATTCATCTGATTTTGATATGTAATTCACTTTTAATTTCTCAGGTTACCACTGAATCTTATGAGTATACATGAGGTTTGGGAATATTTCGAGCAATGGTCTGTTAAAAAACAAAAAATATTAGCCTGAAAACAGGAGTGGCATTGGCCCATGGTACCAACTGGTACCACCCTTTGAAAGTCCTTTTCTAGCCTTGTGGATGATGAGTGGAACTGGGAGACATGAGACCTAAAAAAACTGCAAATCTCTTTTCTGTTAATTGACCTGCTTATTCAATTTAATGTATTTCTTTCTATCAGAAAAGTGTGGTTAAAATTTTACTTACTGCATTTCAGGCCATCGGGCATTATGATACCCCTGTACTGCGGCCAAGAATGGACACAGGGGAAAAAACAAATCCTCCTATAGTTTGCACTCTGGCTATAAACCTGTTAATACAAAATGATACTCTGCTCTTTTTCAGGAAAGACCTTTTTGAACACATCAATTAACTGCAAAAGTACGTTTGAGTCTTCCCTTCAGGCCTTGTAGGAGGGAGGTGAATGGCAGGCGACCAGGCCCACAGATCCCGGACTATTGCTAGGATCCAAGAGGCAATCAAGAAATGTCCCCGGGGTTGGCTCCGCCAGCTTGTTTTGTTGATGATCCTGCCGCTGCTGAAACTGAAGCACCCGCTGATTTAAAAGCCACAGCTGCTTTTTGTAATTACACTGGCCACATTATTGCCCTGTGCCTGGAAGCCACGTATAGCACTAAGCTGTCACTGGGACGCTATAAATATTTTTCTATGCTGGTCCTGTAGGTTAGAGGTTAAGTAGGTTCAGGCTAATCTTGATTTGTGACCCAGCTTCGCACTTACTGGCGGTGAGGTTAAGCCTTTTTTTCCGACATCCTGATGCCTTCAGCAAGCTGTAATAAAGCCCACGCACACTAGATGGCCCCAGGAGAACACCCCGTCCCCCGACACTGTAAGTGAAAACTGCGGTTTCTGGGCCGGGATGGGGCGGGAAATCTGGGTACTCCAAATCCCTTCTCAAGAAATTACAGAGCTATACCGAGTTTTTCAAAGTGGCTGAAGGCCATTAGGCACACAGCTTAGAGAGGACTCCAGAGAGCTTACAAGAATGAAATAGCACCGATATTTTTAATTTAAACCATAGATATGAACTTCAACAAAATATCCTTTTCCTAGAGAAGCCAAAGACAGAACTGGCTACAACTGTGTTGTTGTTTTCATACTATCGTGTGAGAGTGGGGATAGCTAAAAAGGGTATATATATATATATTTTTTTTTTTTTTTTAAACAAAGTCGTCTTAACTGCATTAACCAACTTTTAGTAGATTTCTTGCTTACCAAGTGTAATAGTACACTCTATTGTGGCCATGTTTTTGGGACTGATCACGAAATAAGGCACTGTGCAAAGCCAAATTACAACTGTGAAGTCTGGCCCTTATTGGCGTTTCCTACTTTTATGAATGCCATTAAAATATTGGAGCTTGAGCAAGGCCCTTAAAAAAAATAAATAGACTGTAGACATGCTAGCTACCTGTGTGTGCTGGGAACAGAAGCGCTTTTGGCTGCAGGTACCTGTTGAGATTTCCTTTTAATATTACCATCCAAATGAATGCTTTTATCAAAACCTCCATGCCTACAGAATAAGTGCAAAGAGTGGTCCCAGAGGTGATTTTTAGCACTTTGGCACAGGCTACGAACCATATTACATGTCTTCTTTAGGGTCTGGTCGCTGGCAGGATTTATTTCTGCGTCAAGGAAGATTACAGCTAATAGGATTTGCTCCTTGGAGGCTGTGGGCATGTTTGGTGCAAACTCTGCACAGTGCTTCCTTAAAGGAGAATATGGACCCTATTTTTCACATTTTTCTTCTTCTTCTGGCCTTTCACAGGATAAACCCCTCTCTTTCGTCTTGTGTCACAGGATGCTCTTGCTCTAAAGACAGTTTTGGAAGGTAAGCACGCTCGATACCCTAGTCCTAGCATCAGCGAAGCCCTTAACGCTATAGATTCGCCAGTGTTGTGAGAACTAACAACCAAGCAGATGGCTGCGTGGTATGCTGCCTCTAATACTTGTATATTATTAGCTTGAGCATATAATAAGATTGCTCAGAGATGCAGTTGCATATGTACTAATTTTTATGCATTAGTTGTATTCTTTGTGGGAAATTGGGTGTAAAACCAAACTGAAGGGTATATTGCTTGTGAGTGCTCTGTATGTAGGACCTTATAATTCTTCGAAAGCCAGTTGAACTGTACAGGGTTTGTTAGCCACGAACACGGGGTGTGACCTGGCAAATTTTCTGGGTTCCTTTTCAGGAGTTTGCTCTGTATGTCTGCGCTGCTAACGAAGATCCCTGAAAATATCCCTCAAGACATCAGAAAAATTAGGATAGAAAACTCTCACCTAACAGAATTGCCGCGTGGGTCGTTTTCAAATGTCAGTGCCTTGGAGTACCTTTGGCTCAATTTTAACAACATCACGGTTATGCACCTGAAGAGCCTAGCAGACCTGCAGGCCTTGAAGGAGCTGCGGTTGCAGGGGAACAAATTAAGCTCAGTGCCATGGACAGCATTTCAGGACACCCCAGCTCTGAAAATCCTGGATCTGAAGCACAACCGGCTGGATGTCCTCCCTGAACATGCACTCAGGTATCTGCCTAACCTGACCTATTTAGATCTATCCTCAAATCAGCTTACTGTCATTTCCAGGGATGTCTTCTCCAGCTGGCCCGTCTACCAGAGGAGCCAGCGGGCAGAAGGGAAGATGGACCATACTGCCAATGCCGTCCTGGCCCTTCACGGCAACCCGTGGATTTGCGACTGTCGCCTGAGGGGATTTGTCCAGTTTATCAAATCCGTTGGCCCACCTATTATTCTGATGAATTCTTATTTAACTTGTTCAAGCCCGAAATTCAGGGCGGGGAAGTTTTTCCATGAAGTGGAGCTCAACAGCTGCATGAAGCCGCTTACCTCAGCCCTTGACACCAACCTGACAGTGCCAGTGGGGCTGAATGTCACCCTGACCTGCTACGTGCAAGCCAGCCCTTCCCCAGCCGTCTGGTGGACCTATGGACTCAAACTTTTAAGGGCATTTAATGGTAAGCACAGCTACTTTTTTATGTATGTTTTGCTATTCAAAGTATGCAGGCCTTTGGGCCACCTAGTCACCACACGGGCCCGCAGCCTATTTGGAGCATCACAGTTCTGAGTGTTGCAATAATCCAAATAACCTTCACCACTTGGCCTGTCTGAGCAGCATCCTGGCTGGCCTGGGATGAGCTGCTTCAAGAAGGAGCTTGGTCAAAGAAGAAGGGAGCAGGGCCTCATTTTTATGCAGTTATGTGTGGATTTTCATTAGTAGCTCTTTCAGCAGGCTATATGATGTAAGACCTATTAACAACACATCAATTTTTTTTATATATATAGATATATGTATGTAAATACATAGTTATCTATCTAGATATGTATATGTACATGGGTATGTGTGTAAATAGTTATGTATTATATACAAATAACTATTTATATGCATCTCAGCATATATCTGTGAGTGTGTCTATATATACATACAATTGCACCATACCATTTTTTATACACAAACACACATACATTCATGCATGTTTGTGGGTGTGAGCATGTGCACACCAATGCATGTGTGTTTCTGTGCTAGTCCCATATGTTTTCCCAAGGAAAAAAAACCAAACCACAGAGCCCAAAAGGCCTGGGGCCTGACTGCATCTGCTCCCCTGCTGTACAACCAGAGATACTGTTGTTCTTCACAAAAGCCATGAATTTATCTATCTATTTCATTGAGGTCCTTGTAATATCAGTCCTTCTCTCTCCCTCCCGCTCCGGCCAGGAGCTTTCACACCCTCCCTCGTGTTTGTTTGCGCTAAAAGCCTCCAATAGGGTAAGTTGCAATTTTCATAAGGGCGATATGAATAACACATGCAGCGTGTGCCCACACTGTATGTGCGGCTTTCATACTGGCCTTAAAACTGTGTTTCAGCTCCAGCCTAACAGCTCCTTGCCACCATGTCCCACCACTTGGACCTGAGCCTGATGAGAAAGAACTAGTTTCAGTATACAGAGCTAAAAGAGGGCAGGGTTTGTGTCCAAAACATGGATACAAGCATCGCACTGGTCTTGATGACTTATTTTGAGTTAAACATGCAGGTCATGGCGGGCAAAGGGAGGCCACGGCCTTGTGGGTGACATGGGCTTGCAGGTGGCAGCATGGTAGCCCTGACAGCCGGACACCACTGATGTTTGACCATACTTGTGCCACTGGGTGGAGTGGTTGTTTT